GCTAAATTAGGGACGGCTAGCGCAGATAGCCCTCGTGTAGCTTTGCGCGAAATTCAAAACAAACCCATGAGATTGCCTTCCAGTGGCACAGCGGTACGTCTACGGGACTTACAACGCTAGAAACTGGGTTTCGATACCCGTGGTGGGCAGAGCACAGATAGCCCACAGAAAACGTGGTACCAAATAATGCAAGGTGAGGTAAAATGAGAGCAGTTCCCCAAAATAATCGAAATACATTGATGTTATAGAGGAAATGTAGCGTTTGTACGTAAAGTTGAATTGCAAGAAATACATCTGCAATGAAAAACTGTGATAAATGCAAATAGCTTTTTTTTCCTTTTTTTACATAAGTATATACGAGTTTAAAGGGCTGCACGCTTATTGTGAGGGACTGGAAACTTTTATGTTGCGATAACTGAGACCAAGTAAAATCCAATTCCGCGATTCTGTTGAGTCAAGTAATTGCTTCAGTATCTCGAAGTTTGCATCTCTCAACTTTCATTTAATTGGTCATTATAGACTGGATTTGACAGGACTGTTGAATTATACCAATCGGTTTGTAAAGCCCAGAATCTGTTTATTGTCCTTTCCGAGTTAAAACAATGTGGGTTCCTTTTCCGTAGATACTAACTTTCTAGGTTATGTTTTACCATATTGTTGTTTGTACCCTAGTTTTATTAGGTTGTTCTATACGTGCGACAATATTTATTTTGAAATTATATATGCATGTTAAAAAACAACAACGAAATATTAGCTTTGTTTGTATACGAATAACCCATCGAATACGCGTCTGAGAGCTACAGTTTTTAAATAAATGGCACTTGAAAATTTTATTGGAGTTTCTCACCGGGCGTATATATTTTTATTTAATCTCAGCACATTTAAAATATTATCACCTATAAAATATAGCTAATATTTAAACATGAAGCTGTCATTATTACGGTAATATTTTTCTTTTCATAAAACTTATTACATAAAGTGAAACATGTTAGCTCACATTCAGTTGCAAGATTTATACTATATTTAACTAAAGACTGCAGTTGTAACAGTTGCAACTGTAACCAGCTGTTGTTTATGGATGTTGAACAAAAATTAAAGAAAAAAAAAGCTATGTTATACTGGAACTTAACTGAACAATTTACATATTATTTTAGTTTTATGTTATTACCCAAACGTTTGGCTCAATTACCTGAACCTTCGCCAGCAGTAAGTAGGTTGTACAGTTAATAAAAGGAACACTTCGAAATGCAAGTTGGCGTAGTTGTAAGTTTGATTTTTTATTTTTAAAGGTTAAATAGGCATATTTTTGTAAAACTATATAGGACACATATTTTGTTGTTGCTATATTCATTTTTCGAGCTGTTCTTTTAGTAGCTTTTACGAACTGGACGTCTTACATTTATCGAAAACTCAGATAACTGAACGGAAATCTTTCGTAATAAAACAAAACTGAAAAGAGGTTTAGATTGACCAGTTAAATTCCAGCATAATTAATTACTACTCATTTCAAGAGAATAAAATAAAAATCACATTACTTTAGCATGAAAGATTTGCTTTGTGGGATTTTTTTCATCTCATATGAAACAAAAACGTCTTATTTGATTCTAAATTGTTGCAGCTGTAGGCCTACTTTTTACTTTAAGTGAGAATTATTTTAGGTTATGTTTTTGAAATATTAACTCCAATTATGCATAACAGACGAGTATATTTTATTAAAAAGAAACGTATTATTTTAGATTAAGGTTTTTTAGCTGCAAAACAGCATTATATCCATTAAGTAGCTTCATTTTCCGCTGTTTGATTTTGATTATAGATCCATGTTATGCAAAGCAGGTACGTAAGTATATTAAGTCAAGGGTAAATATAACATTCAAAGGACCAGTTGATTCATGACTTGAGCATATTTTTAGTTATATCTCTTATATTGTTCATACGTACGTATTGATAAAGTATTGGTTTAGGTGTGAATTATCGGGTATACGTGTGAATATTCATATACATATATACTTTGGGTATTTAAAAATAGTAAATATATATATGTACATTTACATATTTATCTAGATATTTAGCAAATTTATTGGGAAACAACTAATAAACATACACAAGAATACCGATACAATTTATATGATATTTATACATATAATTAATATTTATTTATATTACTTATACAATTCCACTTAAGAGCTTTGAACGTTTAAAATATATATTATCATACCACTACGTGTGTGTTCATAAAAACACAATATTTATTAATACTACACAGACAAATAGCTGTCTTTAGGGCTACTTTCGTAAATGTAATTTTCCATTTTTCATTTACAAAGCTTGTTAAGAATAGTTAAAACTATGAGCAATTTTATAGCCAACAATCAATAAAAACAAATACAAAAAAGGGATAATACTGTGACAACACTTCCATATAATCAACAAGGAAAGTAATGAAACATATTACACGAAATATGACAATGTTACAATGAAGCAAAGTATCTGGCCAGACCGTTGCAATCAAATAGCAACGTTTCACAATACAAAATAAAGTAATAACAATTTTCGAATTAACTGAAAAATGTAGCGTAAAATACCAGACAGAAAATATTTATTTGTAGTATCAATTCTTACGGACAAGATAATGTGTTTTATCTTACATTTTTTTCACGAGTTATAAGCTATTCTAACGAACAATCATGCAATTCTGTGTAATTAATACCAAATATGCTATATCACGGAAACATTGGTGTACTTATTTAGGGGTTAAACACTATGAATTCTATTCATCGTATTGCGCACAATAAATCTCATTAGGGTAATCAAACAATTTATATAACTTAATTTATGTATAATTTAAATGTGTTTTGAGAAGGAAAAAAAAGGTGAGTGAACAAAGTAAGTTATTCAAACTGCTACATTTGTCTACTTTCTTCAGAAATTTACCTTTTATATATTAGGTATATTTGTCAGGAATGAACACATTCCTCTAAAGAGAGAAGATTTAACCTATCTTACCTAGTTTGGATAAAATATACTCTGGACGAACAATAAAATCATGAAATCGCACTACTAATTTTATTATCCGTTATTGAAGCAAACAGTACCAAGCACCATTCTTTCCCTATGTTGACACAGTAACCCTCTAGTTTGAATGAAATTAGAATATTCAGATCACGGCGCATATAACCAGAGTCCTGCAATTTTCTCGCTGTGAGCAAATGCTATTTATCACAGATTCACTAGGAGTCTCCAATCTCAAACTGGATTGGAGATTTTCTCATTTCAATCATTTGCAGGATGCCATTCTCTTGCGGTACTTCCATCGCAGTCGGTACGTAGGTCGTTCCTGGAATACATTTAGAACATTGCCGACGAAGTGCAGGACGGTGACGAGAACCTCGACATCTCACAGCAAACCTCAATTCCTCTCCCATCTCTGAACACAGTGATTGCTTAGTAGAGCAAAACAAACAGTTCTGTTTATAATGATGGAAAAATAGGTTCATTGAGTTGCAAAACTGTTGGTTCATATTTATCACGAAGTTCATTTCCGGGTATTAAAGAAATCTCAATGGGAGTAAAACAATTATATATATAAATTGTAGATAATAAATGTCTGAAATTAAATTTCTTAGTTAAAGTTCTCTTTTTAGATATATCTTTAAATGAGGGAAAATAAAACTGGAACCGTATCCATAAACAAGTTTTATTTCTTTAGGAAAAAAAGTAAGTTTGGTAAAAATAATAATGTGGAAATAAATTTCTACATAATATAAATGTTAATTCAGTAACATCAGAAATTTCGGTTTTGGTTCGTCTTTAAAACAAATCCGGTTAATAAATATAAATTAAAATTGATGAAGATGTTGATGTAAGTTCACAGGGTAAACGTATGTGTATTCAAATATAAGAGAAAATTGACTCATCCACGTTTGTTTTTATTACTTAATTCGTATGTTTTCTACTACAACTCTATTGATAGCGAATGAAATAATAATAATAATAAATATGAAATAATAAAATACTTATGTATTAACATATACAATTTTTACAGTATTATAATTTGTACCGATACTATTATCATGCTTTTTAAACAAGTATTAAGACAAGCTAAATGTAATATTATACAATGAAAATTATTAACGTACAAAAAATACTAATATTTTTAATGAAATATTATTGGATTTCCAGGGGCAAATATATTTAGGTTGAAAAAACAACATGCCGTTAAATAAAATATATTAACTTCTCAAGAGCATGACAATGAAGCGATATGAAATATCTCACCCGGTCCGATTGGGCATTCCGCTTGGAATTCCAACAGAATTCTAAGATAGCTGTCATTATGGCAATGGCTAAGCCACAAAGAAGAACAACAAATACGCCCCCGATACTCTCCACCCCCAGGGAGTTTGCCTTCCCTTCTTTTCCCTTTTCTTCTCGCATACACGTTGAGCCGGAACCCTTCCACCACTTGTTGTACAACATCTGTATGATTCCTTTTTCTTGAAGATCCAGTATCGCTAAAGATATCTTATCTCGCCAGGGGGAGCCTGAGTAGAGAAAATATAAGATATTTGATCCACAAGATAGCATATTTACAGATAGTAATGCACAGTATAAAATTGTGAATTGTTGCGTTACACCTTTTACGGTTGATATGAAGTTTGAAATCCTATGCACGAGAACACTAAAATGAAATACAAGCACTTCAAAAAACACAAGATAACACAAGATAACACAGGGTACATGTTTGAAATGTCAAATGTAGCAATTGTTCATAACTCATTCATTTAACTTAAAAACAATAACAATTAAACAAGATATGGACGAAATTTTATAATGTTTATATCCAAGTGTAAGAAAAACGCTTCAATTTAATTTTAAGTGCAATAACACGAATAGCGTACAATTTAATGTAGGTTGAAAATGAACGTGTCGACTTAGTCAATAGTTTACCTAAAGAATTACAGATTTAAGATCATATGACCTGTTTATTACAACTTAAGAGGAGGTACTAATCAGGACAGTTACGTTATTATATGGTACTGTATTTATTTAAATTTGTGATATAAGTAAAAGCGTACTGAAATGAAATATTATCTAAATTCATAAAACAAGAGTTTGGTTGGTATCGTTAGAGTCTTAACTCACATTACAAAATAAATATTATTTTCATGTTTAATTTTATAAATTAATAATTTATATACAGATCAATAATTGATTGAGTTTTTTATACATCGTTCTTATCTAAATTGAAATGTTCATTCTTTTGTAAGTTTCTATTTCTACACTCTAAGCGTCCAGATTAGGAAATATTTCGTGCGAATGAGTTTACGAGGTAAACAGTTGAAATATTATCGTATGAAAATTAAGACATGATTACCTATAGGAGTAGCAATTCCATAGCCTTTTGAATCTAACAGTCCACCGACTTGAGTGAGGTTACAGTTCCGTTGGACCATGTAGTCTAAAACTGTAGACTCCATCAAAAACGCGTAGTTGCCTTGAAGGACCCGCTCGACTCCTTCTTCGTACGAACTGACAAAAACTGAAGGACGATTCTCCATAAATCTCCACATTTTCTGATAAGTTTCGATCTTAGAATCCTGTAATGAAGTTGAAAATGTTTTGTAATAAACTTGTGCAAACTATTTTATTTAAATCTAGAATTCATCTTTCTGTAAATTGTAACTTATTCCTTGCTGTAATGGCCTACTGTAACAATTCAATATTAGTCATGTTTCTTCACGAGTCTACTCTCTAGGTGTTCTGTTACGCCTGACATACTGTGAGGAACCAAACGAATTCGTGAATATCTAAAAAATAATTTCCCAAAGGAGCATTGAAAAATTTCGAACCAAAATCGATTTAAATATTTATTACATTGAAAGTCATGCCATAACACAACTCCCATTGAAAAAAACTTCGAACCAAAATCGATTTAACTATTTATTACATTAAAAGTCATGCCACAAAACAACTCCCATTGAAAAAATTTCGGAGCAAAATCGATTTAACTATTTATTACATTAAAAGTCATGCTACAAAACAACTCCCATTGAAAAACTTCGAACCAAAATCGATTTAAATATTTATTACAAACAAATTCCAAGTCTAGCAATAATAAAACAGAGAGAGAAAAGTCGATTGGGTTTAAAATAATGTAAACAAATCCAGGAAAATTATTTTTCAATCATTTACAAAATAGCTAGTTTTGTCTCATAGAAAAAGGAGAGAAAAGTTATATATATATGTGTAGTTTTGAAAGATAGAATGATTTATTTGATTTGATTTAAATACCTTCTTGAATCTAAGACAAGTAAAAGTATTATTTCAAACATAAAAATAAGCCACTTTTTAACTTTTACTTTATTTTTACAAGTAATAGAGATCGTTCTATGTTTTAATAAGGTTTGTTTTGTATAAAAGATAATGAAATGTCTAAACAATGGAAATGAAAGAATACTAACTTAATCACAATGCAGGAATACATTATTTAGATAACTGAAAAGTGGGAATGTCATAGAAGTGAAATATCTCATTCCATTATTTAAAAGTATTTGTAATTGAACAAAATAAACTTTTAAAAATCTTGCAAGTTTAAATTTCGAAACATGTTCCTGAAATACTAATATATAATGTTTCTCATCTTAAGAAACTGGGTTTTATTACGGCTAAACGAGAAAAGTACTTAATATATACATTTGAATATGCTAGAAGAAAATATCAAATCAGGACAAAAAAAATAGAAAAATATATTTGATTTTGTCCATATAATAAAACTACAAGTATGTACAATCTATTGTTTATTTTTAATAATTAAGTTGTACATCTTCAGATTTCTTAATTTTCATAGTTTTAAACGGCCGAGTAATTCATAGGTAAATCCCAAAGGCTTTCAGTTTCAAAAAGATTGATTAAGTCACAACGGATGTGTTTCTTATCATTAGCTTCATCCATACGTTAAAGAAGGTGTTGCACATTGATAATACAGTCGTTCTCCAAGAGGTGGATGAAACTCGTAAAATGTTCGAATGCAATCTTCATATTGTGACGCTTACAGAATAATTTATTGGTCCTTAAATTTTGTTTCTTAATACCATTGACAGAAAGAAAGAGCAAACCTCGCATACTTCATTGGCTCTTTCTATCGTTGTATTTTTGAAGTTTCTGGGATTCGTAATATTTATACAAACATTTAAATCTATAAATTAGTAAAGATGCTTTCCGTATATGACTCTCATTTTTTTTTTCAAAAACGTTTAGGCCCGGCATGGCCAGGTGGTTAAAGCGTTCGACTCGCAATCTGAGGGTCACGAGTTCGAATCTCCGTCACACCATATATGCTCGCCCTTTCAGCCGTGGGGGCGTTATAATGTGACGGTCAATCCCACTATT